AAGAGAGGTAATAGTAGGAATTTCATAAGTAGAAGGAAGAAGCTTTTTGTATTCGGAGGCAAAGGTTGTAGCAATTTCATATCGAATATGATTGTAGATTCTTTTTTCTGTATCTTCAGATTGTTGAGAGAATTGTCGGGAATAAATTAGAATGAAAGAAGAGAACCATTCATCAAGATCATTAGTGAATGGTTTAAGAGATGGAATTTTAAAATCTTTAGTGAATGGCTTTTTGGGAATATTGAGGGCGACATTAATGTTAAATTGGTCATCATGATGGATTTGGAATAGAGATTTGTTATGTGTATCTTCACTAAATAAGTAATGGATTCTAAAGCAGATAGGTTTTGTGTCAAGGTCTTCTATAAATTTTTGCATGTGGATTGTTTGGTATTTGTTTTGAAGAAAGAGATGGATTCGAGCCAAATTAAGAGCGACTTGATTACAATTGCGAATAGTATATGGAGGAATAGAGCTATGAGATGTTAGAATTTTTTTGTAGTTGAGTACAGTTGTAAACTGGAGAAGAAGTGATTTAAAGGTATCAAGAATAATGCTAAAAGAAAGAATAGTATTTTTGTTTAGTAAAGGGTTTGTCTCTAGGATTAAATCAATGAGAAATTGAGGGCGTTTTCTTGCAAGGGAGACCATTAAATAGTTGAAGGTGTATCTAATTTCTTTGCCTTTTTGTTTATTATTAGAAAAGATTTTAACAATTTTGCCAGGTGCAAATTCGATAAGGTGAGGTTTAACAAAGTTAAGAAGTTGGTGTCCAAGTGTGTTTAAAGAAGTATTGTTTTCCATATCTTCGGTAATAGGGTAAGTCGAGAACCAGTCAAGGTCATTAGATGTATCCCGTTTAGGATAGGTTGGTTTAGTTTGTTGCTCATTAGTAGAATTAAAATCAATAGATTGGTTATTGTTAATAGGAGTATCAGAATCAATTTCCATTAAGCGAGATACAGTTCTAGTAGGAGAGAGCTAAGGGCTTTTGGTAGAGGTAAGTGGTGTTAGTGTGGAAGAAAGAGGTTTAACAGTAGATTTGGCTTTGCTAAAATAAGTAATTCTGTAGAAGCTTGAGATTGAGAAAGTTGGAATGATTTGCTTGTATTGAAGTTGGTGTGTTTGGTAGAAAGTTTTGGAAATGAATCATTAGTAGAAGAGGTAGAAGAAGTAGATACTTGGTTGAAGGAGGTATTTTGAATATTTTGAAAAACAGGAGTTAGATTTTTCCTAGATAGGTCAAGTGTGGAAATAGCAGCTGAAATCGTTGGAATAGTAGAAGTAGTTGATGTGGAAGATGCAGTAGGAGCACAATTTATGTGAAAGATCTCTTCGCCTACTATAATATGAATTTCATTAGGGTAATATTTACCACCATAGATACGACAGGTGATATTTTTAACGCATTTGGGACAGGTATGTTGACAGGCTTCATGTGTAGGGGATGGTGAAATTGTATCAGTAGTTTGAGAAACTTGTTCAATAAAGTTTTCAGATTTTTTGTTTTGGTTCTTTCCTATTTTCACGTTAGTAAATGAAGATGTAGAAGTTAATGGATAAGTAATATTGCTTTTAGCAATAAAGTGAGTATGATATTTGTTACATAGGCATGCAACAATGGATGTAGTTTTAGGTGTACGGAAAAAGTGTGCAGTTTTTGTAATTTGAGTATGAGTGGTTTTGGTAAGGCATGTTGTAGATACTTGGTTGGCTGGAGTTGGTCTAAGCTTTGCATCAGGCGCGTGTTCGAAGAAGGTGATCGCAAATCTAATAGGGAAGTAAGCATGGACATAATCAAGATCGATAGTATCTGGCTCCTCCTAGATTAACTTAGGTATTGTAGATAGTTAAAATAGATTAAACTTTGATAGTTTTAGTAAGTTTTGGTTGTTAAAAATTTAATTTTTTGGAAAATTTTTCTGTTGAAAAGAGGGTATTAAATAAAGTAGGGATTTTATTAGAATGTGTTTTTCAGGGTGAGATAAAAAAGGGGTCTAGTTTTAGGTTACACAAGGTCACGTAACCTAAAAATAAAATTCCAAAGTTTTGTGTTACATAAAGTCATGTGATATCACGTGTTGCACAAGACAAAAAAGAAAATCTTATTGTATGAATAAGAAGTTACTAAAAAGGCAGATATTAAAATTGTGCAATATTAACTAATAATTAAGTAATTTTAGTGTAATTTAACAGATACCAATAATTTTAGAGATGTGTAGGGCATGGGTAGCATGATTGGGGGCAATGTGGATTGCATAAAAAATGTCTCTAGATGTTTGGGGAAAAAATTCTCCAAGGTAAAAAAAAGAAAGAAAGAAGTAAACGAAATAGAAATTGTTTACTTATAACTTAGTCAATATTGAAGCTACAGAGGTCTATTATAGCTTGTTTTGAAGAGGAAAGTGTGTTGAACAAATTTGTTCTAAGTTTGAACAGAGGTTTAGAAGCTAGTTTTGGCGTAAATGGCAAAAGAAGCCTATTTGGCCTAAGAGGCCGTTACTAAATGAGTTTTGGGCCAGTTTAATTAAAACTTTAACACTATATATAATTTTATATAGAGAATAACTTTTGTTAGAGCAAGAAAATAGATTATCTTAGTAAATTATTGTAAAAATAAATTTTTTTAGTTATGCAAGTTTAGGCAAATTTTTGTACAAGTGATGAACGGGAAAGAGTTTTAAATATATAAGTAATTGTATTTTAAGTAAATGTATTTATTTATTATTAAATAAAAGATATATTTATATTGTTTAAATAAGTAAAGAATTTAAGTAAGTTATATGTATAATAAGCACTTTGCAATTAAGAAGGTTAAAATTAAAGTATAATAAAGTAAATTACAATTTTTAGAAATTTTAGTGTAATATAAAATAGTTAATTTTTGGATTATATATATATACGTTGAAATATATATAATAGTAATATATATAGGTGATTAATTATGTTGAGTAATAAATCGACCAAGGCCATTGTTATATAGTAATATTAGTCATTGATATTTATTAGTTACTGCTAGATCTGTTTTAATAGCATTAAGGTCAAATGATGTAATGTTTAAGGAATCCCATGACGGAGCTCTACTAAATGCTATATAAGATTGACTATATGCAAACATTTGGTCATCGATTGATATTGAAACATGTGGTATTGTTAATCTCTGTGTTTTATGCACTGTAAGTGCAAAAGCATTCTGAAGGGGAAATTGGTGTTGACTAGCTAGTGTGACATTTAGATTAAAGTGTTTTGTAGTTTTTTTTATAGTTGTAGTGATGATTGTTTGTGTTGTTGGAAATACAACATCTATTGTATTTTATTTGAAATAACACCAATAGAACTATTGCATAAGCCTTGATCAAATAAGAGATTATCCAAGTACATAACGCGTGCATCTTGTTGTAAGATTAAAGTTGGAGGTAAATTTGTTTGGTGATAAAAAATATAATTGTTTTCTATTGGATCATATTCTTCACCATTAATATGATCAATTGCTATTGAAATAATAGGTTCAAATTCTTCTATATTTAAAGATAAAGATAAACAAGCTAATTTATTTATTTTATCTGCCATGGCTCGGAATCCAACAATATGAGTAGTATTTGTTGGAGAACATAATAAAGGATTTCTTATTTTTTCTTCAATAAATTGTAAAGTAGTAGATAATAGATTTCCAATACGAATTTTTTCTAAGACTTTACAGAAGTTAGAATTAGAATCTTGTCTATGAGGGGTTGTTAAGAATAAAGGATAAAACTCAGACTAGACTGGTGAGTAAAATACTTGAGCACTATTAATTTGAGGTAATTAAGCAAGATCACCAATTAATAGAACTCTAATTCCACCAAATGGCAATATATTGTTATGCAAACAAGAAAAAAAATTACTAATAAAAGTGAGTAAACTTGCAGACACTATAGATATTTCATCAATAATAATAACATCAATCTGTTGAAGTTGTTGGTGGCATTCTTGGTCACATAATGCAAAGCTTTCGAAGTTATTAGTTGAAGGGCGAATTTTTAGTTGAGAATATATAGTCTTGCCTTCAATATTTTGAGCAGCAACACCTGTTGGAGCCATTATTAAAAATTTTTTATGCTGTGATAAAAGGTGGTTAATAATTAATTTAATCATATATGATTTTCCTGTGCCTGCTGAACTAGTTAAAAAAAAGTAAGGATGACCACGTTCAGTAGCACAGAAGTTAATATATTAAAAACTGTATATTGATCTGGTGGTGTTTCTAGTATGGAATAACAGAAAACTAAAGAGGTATATCTTATTAGTAATTCTAATTGGATACGTATTACTAGTGTAATATCATAAGGTATGTCATTTACAATATAGTTTATTGTTTGACGATAATTATATAAAAATCTAAGGAATTGAGCTCTTGAAGACTGATGAACATATTGTATTGCTCTTGTGTATTGTAGTCCGGTGTTTTTCCAAATTTGGTATTACTGGATATAGATATGATCTACATTGATCGACATCATACAATTTTCTAGAACTTTATTTGTGAAATTGAATTTGATTGGCTATCAAATTTTATATATATAGTAGATTATCGAACAACAAAAAAAAGTACTTTTAGAAATGCCATACATGCTTATAAGTACAGAAGCATATAGCAGTATACAGTAAAACCTCTATAAGTGCACACTCTTGGTTAATATACACTTAAACATTAATAAGAAAAAGTGCATTTATAGAGGCATGTATATATTTGAGACAAAACTTGAGCGTGCATTTAGAGGGTGTACACTTATAGAGAATGCACTTATAGAGGTTTTACTGTAGAACTTTTATATGCTAGATCAAGAAGCTGGATCAAAAAGTTGGATCAAGAAATGTGTGTATTTGGAATATTGACTATACAACATCAAATAAGTATAACATACTTTTTTTTTTTTTTTTGCAGTTTTATTCATTTTATATTTAAAAAACTTATTTATTTATGACTATTTAAATAACCACCTTTTTTTAGCTACTTTTTTATGTTGTCTCTTCAGCCACATCAGCATCAGTTGCATTATAAAGATCTCAAACTTGTTGCAAAATTATTACAATTCTTCTTTTCTTTTTGACTTTAATCCTCTAAATTGTAGTTGTTTGGCTTTATTTAAGAATTCAACCAATGTTTCGATTGCAAATACTATTTCTTCTTTCCTCAATAAACTTTTAGCTGATTATAATTGTGCTTCATCAAAAGTAACAGGAATGGATTGGGTAGGTTCAGGACTAATTAAGCCAAAATTTTCTTTAATATAGTTTATATGTTAAGCTCGGGCTTTATTACTGAATGATTTTATTTGTACACTTAATTTATTATTCCTATCTAAACTATCAAAGTTATTATTTAGATTTAGATTTGGATTTAAAAACCCTGTTTTTTTTAACCAAATTTGAAATCTTTGTGATTCTTTTTCATAGTCTGGATAGCTTCGTGGACCTGAACTTCCAGAATCTGCATATTCTATTGTAGCAACCAATTTTTTTTGCAGCTATTAAGATGACATTTATCAAGAAGAGAAGTATTATTTAATTATATATATATATATATATTTAAGCAGTCTTGTCTTTATTTATTTGAACCACTATTTAACTATTATACATATATAATTGACTATATAGTGTAATG